ATAAAAATATAAATTTACAGTTTATATTGATCTTATAGGTATAATTAGAATTTTTAATAAATACTCTTTTGTAATCATTTATATTTATTATATATATTATATTTATAAAGATGTTAAACTTTTTTACTGATATAAGATATTTACAAATGAATCTTTTTATTTTCAATAACAAAGAATCACATGTTAACCAATAGAAGTTATCAAAATCATTGATCTGGTTACATGTTAAGAAATATACATTCAAGGTAAGATACTAGAGAATATTTTTTATAATGTTTCTATTAAGTAGTAGTAAATTATGTACTTTTTAGTAGAAGAAAATTTCACAAAAAAAATAATTTAATTTAAATTCAAAGAGTCAATGGCACGAGGTTAAAGAAGGAAGTGGAGAAAAAAAGTACACAATAAATATTTACATATACAAGTTTGAATAAAGAAAAGATAGACATGGAGGATCTAATACTTCTTTAAAGTCCACATCCACCACATGGGGCAAGACTACTGGATTTTCAATTATTTTATCATCAGCTTAAAAGTTAATTAAGGTTGAAGAGTTTCTTAGGTAATAGTATTTCAATATTAATTTAGCAATATCATAGAATTGTAACCGGATTTCTTGGATTTCATGAAAATTGGTTGAAATAATAGGTAATTTTGGGACTATGTAATAATTTCTTCAGTTCTTTCCATTCAAAATGGTGACACTGATTAGAATTAGATTATCGAAACCCGATATTAACTCAATCCTAAAATAGTAAAAAGTTAGCTGAGAAGGTGTTTTAGATTTATAACCAAGAAAAAGTAGAGACTAAATTAGCTAGTCTCAAGAATTAATTTTATGAACTGCTTGGAAAATTTATATTCTATTATTTTATAGTTTTAATTTCAAGAAAGATCTACTACTCATATCGATGTTTATCTTTTTCACTTAAAAGTCTTCAATATTGTTGGTAGAAGTCTTTAGTTTTTTTTTTTATATTGTTTTTTTAAGAAGAAGCATGCCACCAAAGAATCAAATCCACGTTCTAAAATAAATTTGATTATATATTTTTTGAAATATTACATAATTAATGACTTTTATATGACTACACTTTTTTTTTCTGCCACAGAATCTTCTTATTTGGCGAAATTATTATAAATTAATCTCGTTGAATTATGCCACCAATTTTTTGTTTTATTTTGTAAATATTGAGAATGGATTTTAGTAAATAATTGTTTGTATAACTTGTGAGTATTATGGATGGCAATTGAAGTGGGTGAGTTTCATTAAATTTCATCGTATTTTTATTTTCAAATTCAGCATGTATATAAATTGTGTCTAATTTTCATTCTCATAGGACAATGCATATACCACCTGTATCCATATCCAGTATTTTACTATTACAAATATCGATTAATTAGTTTTACAAAAAAAAATATAAATCAGTAAAATAAATCATAATATTATCAAAATATTTAATGTTAAAAACACTATTATCATTTTTTAGAAAGTCAAATATTAAAAAAAATATTATAATTATATAAATCATAAATTAGAATATAAATTACAACTAGAAAAAATTCAAAGAATTATATAAATTTTAAAGAATTATACTTGAGAAAATAATAAAATATTTATTAATTCTTGCAAATGAACTTCCACTGTATTAGATCACATACATGTAGAAAAAAAAATTATATATGATACGATAAATGAAGTTGAATAATGTATGACTTATATATTATTTGATTCAATGAAATTAAATCATACACAAAGAAAAAATATGCAATTAAAATTATAAGAAAATATATATATATATAATATATATATATATATATATATTATATATATATATATTTCAAGTTACTTATTAAATTATAAATATTTTAATAATTTAAACACTAATGGAATGTATATTAAATAAATATATACATACTAATGTCTTCGTATCTAACAAAAAAATTAGATATTATTCATAAATAATGTGAAATTTTTAATTAAAAAACAAAAACAAATTTAGATAATATTGGAAGAAATTTATTTGTCATATTAGTGAATTCATACCATGTGTATAATATGTTATCCATGTGTTATAATTTAAACAATCATATTTTGTCTGTGTTGGAAATCAAATAATAGAAGAAAATAAATTAAAGTGAAAAGCATAAAGTTTAAATAAAAGAAAATAATAATGGTATGTTAAGCATTTTATATGAATATTTAATAAAAGTATTATTATTCAATATATAAGTTTTTAATAAAAATTATTTCGAATAAGTTTTTTGCAAAATATAAAACCTTCATATTTTTACTAAATCCTAAAAACAACTCTTTTTTTTTTCTTTTTACCATTATTCAATGAGTGATGTTTGAGTTGTTGTCTTGTTGTTCTTAGAGTTGTTTGGTGGTATGGATTAGAACAATGACAAGAGGTAGGAGAAGATATCATATATATGGTGTGCACAGTGAAATCAATGAGTAGCAGTAGTAGTGGACTCGGAGTTCGTACAATGTACTGAATTGATCATGCCAATATGGACTCATCTCAACTATATACCTCCTCCCATTCACATCCTGCCACGACAAACAAAACCTGTGGAAGAAAAAACACACACGTATATATATACTTGTTTCTTATTTCAACATGTACTTTTCTCCAGTCAGGTTCCTGTCATCGTGGAGCTATTTTTAACACGGTTTAAACTTAATTTAACTCTATAAAATTAATTGTAAGATGAGAAGAATTGTACCTCATTTATATATTATAATTTATAAAGAAAATTCGTACTTACTTTAGCTTCTTTATATATATAATGTGCAGGTCAAGAGGTAAGGAGGTTAAAGTTGATAGAAATTCAAATGGATCTAAATAATGTATTACATGGTGTTCAATATTTTTATTTTTATTTAATATATATGAGATTTGGATTTGTATAAATATTTTTAACAATGTTTGATTGATGAGGATTGTCGATTAAGTATCATCAAAATATACCATCATGCAATGACTGTGATTTTGACAGCAATTAAGTGTTGTGAATGTAGAAGTGATGGACAGTTATGACTTCATCAGCTGTGTCTGTCTTGAATATCAAGAATCAAACAAAACGAAATCTGGTAATTATTAAACTTTAAAATCTTGATCTAAGAAATTTGTACATAACCTTCACATCAACTGTGTTTATCCTCGTTAAAAATTAAGGAAATAAAACCGTAGCTTAAATGCAATTTAAAAACGATGCATATGTGTAAGAAAGTACCTAATTGAATTGTTTATTTCAAACGTTAGGAATCTATCATATCATACATTGGGACGGTTGCATTATGAGTGCCAGAAAAGTAGAGGTTTACAAATTCAATACTCAAGCATTAAAAAAGTCCATGCTTTTTGCTGCATTTTAAGCCATAGAAAGTGTTGGAGCTGTGAGAAGTAAATGGTCCAATGCAGAGGGAAACCTTTGTTAATTATTAAGACTGCATAGTGAGTTAAACATGATGAAAGCATGGAAGTTTGCACGTGTATGAAGTTGGAAAGCGTGCTGGAGAAGATTACAGGTGAAGGACCAAACAACCACATTTTGCCCCGTGTTGTCATCATAAAGCCATGCATGTGAATGGAGAAGAAGGTTTGAGATATTTTCACATTCTCTGTCACATTTTCTGCAGGAAAAGACATTGTTGTCTTCCTTGAGGAGTCACAATCGGGTGCGAATCATATGATTATGCTTTTCCTCAACAAAAGTGTTTGGCCACTTCCCAACCTACTTCTCTTATATGTGTTAACAACTTTTTAATGGACTGCTTTTTTTATCTAATTAGCACGCATTCCTGTTTTTAAAGAGTTGGGTGTAGATTTCATCTTCTCACCACCTTTTCACTTAAAAAGTCATTTACTATAAATGGCCAAAAAAGTGTCACAATTAGTTCATTGTGAAAAACATCCCTGTTAGTACGTCTGCATTATACTCTTAACTTCGAATAGACTGACAGAAGTTTTCACTTCACAAAGCCATATATATGTAATATAAAATGTTTAATATTATATTATTAATCAATAAGATACATTACTATGACATATTATATAATTGATATATAAAATGTTAATATTTATGATAGTTATTCTACTTTAAATTATAACGACTAAATATCTGATTGAAAGATGGAATATCCTTATTCATACGGTATCTAGAGCTGACTAAACATCATTAAAATGTTATGTCTAAATGACATTACAGAGCTGTTTTATATTGAGAAATGATATTAATTACACATTAGAATACTTTCCTTTTCCTCTAAATAAGATATAAATTCCTATAAAAACATTATTATTAAAAGTGTAGTATAAGCTCTTGATTCCCAAAGCTCTACTTCAGTTCGGAGCATAAAAGTCATATCTTCTATTTACGCATTAGAATATATTAGTTTTTCTCTAAATAAGATATCTATTCCTATAATTGAATTTGTACTATTTGCTCTTGATTCTCAAAGTTCTTCTTTAATTTGGAGCTTATAAATCATATCAATTCAGCTTGTTGAAAATATAGTTAATCCTGAGAGTTCTCAAAGACTTAGTGAAGACATCAGTCAACTTGGTACTAGAAACAACAACTTCTTGTAATTTTTCTTAACCTCAATCTTCTTCTCTTTGGTGAACCTCAATAAGTTTTGTCCTATAAAAAACTAGATTACATATATGATACGTAGAACCGCCTGATTATCATAGTTCACTGTCATTTGTGCTGTCTTCGAAGTCAAATTGTCTAAAGAGTTGCTTCAGATATTAGTATTTGCAAGTCAAAAAATTCAAGCTCAGAGTACTTCAGCACTGTATTCTGCATGTCATTTACACAGACGGTTTCTGCCAATATGCTGGCTGTTTGACAGTTTAATTTTCATAAATGGAAACTACATCATCGAGGTTAGTCAAGCGCCAAACTAATTGTGTTTCTTCTCCCATACTCGACAGCTTCCACATTCAACGGAAAGAGGAAAAAAGCACATAGGTAAAATTTGATTATCTCAATTAAAAACTTCAAATGTCATTCACATCAAACTGATATTATTATTAACCGCAGCAGTATCAAACTTCTCATTGTTGGAAAAACAGCCTATGGACATGGAAAACTGCACATTAAGCTTAAAAAGAATACAGTTTTGGTACAACAAAGATGAGGGGAAACTCGTATTATCCATGCCTGATAATAACTTGTATTATTCAATTGAGAATATATCAGACAGCAAACTGTTTCAGGCAACTCGACAAAGCAGTAAGTCGCGAGGCAATCTATCTTCAAGCATTCGTGATCCGGAATTGGATTAGTAAACAGATTAGCCAAGCAAGTCACTGAACAAGTTAGGATTCTGACTTGAGGGGTTCACACCCATCTGCCTCACTAGTGCATCCTTATCCAACGAATCTTTAGCATTTGGACCCTTAATAGACTGGGGCAAAGGCGTCGTAATTGTTTCTCCACTAGTAGCTTTTACAGCTGGATTGGACAATTCAGATAAAAGATTTACATTATTCCCACTTACAGGTATAGAATAGTCACCACTGCCAGTACTCTCCGAATACAATCCCATAATATCAGGGGCATTTGTAGTAGCACCTACATTATGACCTATTCCAGAATTAATGCTTGGGTCATAAAGTCCTTCTAATTGCTGGAATGGATCCACAGAGGGAGGACTGTAGTGTCAGCTGATTCACCTAAGTCAAGCAAATCAGGAGGAGGGGGTTGGTGAATTGTTTTTTCCACAGCTACCTCGTTGGGTACAACAGCAGCCTTTGATCCCTGAGCTCCGTCTGCAGCATTAGATTTTGGAACCTTATGGCTTGTAGACAATCTTTTCTCAGTTTTAGTTGAACCACCAAACAATGAAGCAGCAAGCTTTTGCTTTTCTGGATTAATCTCAACCTGCGTCTTTCTTGAATCATAACTATCGCGTACTTTTGAATTAACAGCTGTAGCACCATCCACCTGTGCCGCCCCGTTTGTTGACTTTTGTGATGTAGAATAAGAATCAGAGGCAGAAGAAGCTGAAGACGAATAAGTAGGCCTACCCCACTTCTTCTGAACACCATCAAGCCTTAGCTTAAGCTCTGACGATCCAGCTTCTGATGTTGATCCCGCTGATGAAATATGGTGAGTTTCCCTGGAAGAAAGTGCCTCAGGTACCGGAACAATGTCTGCTGAGGATGCAAATGAAACTGGAGTAGCTTTCAGTTGCATTGGTGCCTTTGGAACTTCATATGCCTCAAATCTTAGACCATGCTGCAAAGATTCATTGTGATCCTGGCTTCTGAAATTGTTCATATTCCCCATTCCAGTGCGCTCATCCTCGGGAATATAGGCTTGAGCACCCCTTTCTAGAGATTGCCGAACATACCCATCGAGGAAAAGAAAGATTATTGTCAACCTGCATAATATATTCAGTATGTCAATAAACTCTTGCGGCATAAAAAACAATAATTTAAAGGCATCGGCATCGTCCCCAGCAAAACACTTTGCTATATTTAGTTTAAATGAATTTGAATACTAGAAAACAAAAATGCTATGCAGTGTATTAATATCCAAAAACAAAATGGTTGATGAAACTTAGTTTTGGCATAAATTAATCAGAGACTACTAGCCAGCAATCATAAAGAAACCAGAAAAAATATCTGGAAAGAACAGAAGCTCAAATCTCAACTTTTGTCAAAAAGAAGTCAAAATTGCATGTGTTTGTAAACAAGACAAATCACACCAAGCAAAACAACAAACAACAGCAAAGAGATATTTCAAAGTACATTTCAATCCCATCAATTTTCACGCATTCTGCCCCTCAAATAATATTTCGGATGATCAAGTAGCATTTCAATTTCCTATCAGAAATTAATTATGCCAACATAAACCGTATCTAACCAACACCACTACCATCCTTCCCATGAAAAAAAGAAAAATGTAAATCATATCATAAAATGAGACTAAAAAACAGGAAAATTCTTACTCAAAGGAAATCTCTGCCTTTCAATTAGGGCACCCTGTTAAAACCACAAACTGAAAACGCTCCCACTTTCTCAAATCCCACAATGATAAGAATATTGACTTTCTCATAAAGTCTCCCCCTGTAACAACTAACAATTTAACTACTTTAATTTCAAAATTTCTTCCTAACCCTCTCATTACTTCCCTGCCTAACGCAATCCCTAAAAGGTTTTCCTTGATTACTATGTTTCATGGGTTAACACCACAAAAATGCAAATCATTATATTTCAACCCATAAAATATCATGATCTTAGGTAAGAAGATTCCATATTGGAATTAAACCTCAATGTCTTCACAACTTGCATCTCTTGGCATTATTGTTTCAACTGCTTGTACTCCCAAACCTATAAGGGCCTGCAATTCATAAGCACGTTGCTGCAAATCTGTAGAATGGGATGCTAATAATTATTCAATACAATATTGACAAGCTGCAAGAAGACAACAAAGAGTTACTCTCCATTTCAATAAAGCATAAATCAAATTTAGCATAAACTTGTAGACTATAACAGAATTTGCTTTTCTATGGACATCCCACTCAGCAAAATGAACTTTGAAACTAATCTATCAATTACAATGGTGAAAAAATTTTAAACTGAAATGATCATACAAAATGCTAACTCAATGACCCTATTTATATCAACAATTTGGTCGAGTACTAGTGTATCATTACAGCTATAAGCCTGAGCATGCTAATACAATAATAAGAGTATGAATAAACTAAGCTTGAGTCATACACTGATACATTCCTCCACAACGAACCTAATCAAGACTCAAAACTCACACCAAACACACCAGGTAATGAAGAAAGATCTCTTTTATTCACAAAAGAATATCTGTATACAATGAACAATACAGGCTAACCCTCTCACAGGATTAGAACCTGTCTAACAAAACAAAGTAAACCAAAAGGCAATTACGTGCCAGACGTAGTCAGTTAATCACATCAATTGTGCCTCTTCCTTCTCTCGTACACTATCCACTTCCCCTTATTCCTTCCAGGTCTATCATACACAAACACAATACACTCAACAAATTACAAATAATTTAGAAGATATCAAGATATTCTAAAATATTTTCATGATTGTCTGAATACTTAAAATTTTAATCAGAAAGTTTCAGTTGAGCCAGAGAAACCCACATCGCTGGCTACTTTTTATCATTAAAAACGTGCTTGGAATTCACAAAACAATATAACTCACTCAAGAAAGACATGTTTAAAGGGAAATTTATAAAAGAATAAAAATTAAAGATCTAATCTTCATATTCCTCTTACACTCAACAAATTACAAATAATTTAGAAGATATCCATAGTATTCTAAAATTATTTTCATGATTGTCTGAGTACTTAAAATTTTAATCAGAAAATTTCAGTTGAGCCAGAGAAACCCACATCACTGGCTACTTTTATCATTAAAAAACGTGCTTGGAATTCACAAACATATAAACTCACAAAGAAAGACATGTTTTGTAACAGGGAATTTATATAAAGAAGAAAATTAAAGATCTAATGTTAAGATTCCATGGTTTTAAACTTTTTTACTTAGATATCACCCAAAAAATTGTACAGGTTTTAAAATACCATTTCTGAAATTGGAAAACACCTATGAAGGACTTCTAGAAATTTAGTGAGGTGAGATTCTTCGCATGATGATAAAGATGGGAAAAGATACCATACAGTATAAGGGGTAGTTTTTATATAGCCCTCAAAACTCAATCATTACTATCTTAGGAAGAAAGGATTCATATTTTTGAACCCAGTCTTTTAGTATATACCTCAGGTAGGATATCCACTTTCCTCCTAGCTGCCACTTCAAACGCATAAATTTTCATCAATGCTGAAATTGCATAAGCCTGAAAAAGCAATAAATTAGTTTGAATTTGAAAACTTTCATTTCAAGCTGACAAATTGAAATTAGAGCTAGCCATAGGATGGATACAATAAAACTAACTATAATAGAATAGTTCAATGATAAAACGAAGTTTACGCATAAAACAAGTTATCACCATATAAACATACTAGAAACATGATAAAACACCTAACATATATATGTTCTCATGTGAGCGGGAATACCAATGGCAAAAATTATTGCATGATTGCATAAATCATATCAGAAATGAAATGCAAGGGAACATAATTCCTGTATGTGCATGTATTTCACAATTTAAATAATTAAGCCAAACAAAAGTGCTTATTGACACAAGTCATACATAGATTTGGAGAGGCAAACATTTTAAATTATCAAATAAGTAAAGTGAAATATTTGATTATTCAGCATTGTCATAAACCGCAGATTACAGAAAATGCATAAATCCAATAATCTGCAACAATAAAGTCGTGGCCTCACAGGCACATAGTGGAAGTCAAATAGCAGTTGAAATATGGTATATACCAATTATCAATTATATATGTATAAAAGAGTGAGCTATATGCAAATAAAAAGACACGTGCAGTTTAATCATACATAACTCGAAAAGTGAGGCAAGTACAAATGCTGCAATCATTGCAACCATAGCAACAGAAAAAGCCATTTTTGTGGAAGGTACACCAGAATGGAATTGCAATTGCAGATTCTGGTTATGTTGACGAGGTATTTTGAAATTTCAAGAAATTTGGAATGCTCAAAATTTTGCATTGTTCATTATTTCACCTTTCTTCATTTTTAAAGGATTTTCTTAAACTTTAGATTCTAAGTTCGGATATGACAAGTAAATTTCTAAGTCATTTTAAAAATATAAATATATTAATTTTAATAATAAACTTTATGGAAATAAGCATGCCAATTTTTAAATATTCAATGTCAAAATAAGTTAATATTAGATAATATTTTATAATTTGAAAGTACAAATATTGACATTTGAACATCAATCTTGATAGAGAGGAGAGATGGAGGGAGAGAGTAAGAAAATGGAGAGGGAGAGGATAGCAAGAGAGAAAAGGGAGAGAGGAGAGAATGATACAAAGGAGAACTAAGAAAGAAAGAGAACAAAGAGAGAGCTGGAGATAGTAAAATAGAGAGAAAGGATGAAGGGGGAGGAAAGAGAGAAAAGAGATAGAAGGAAGAGTATCAAGAAAGAGAGAGCGTTAAGAAGTTCAAATTCTCAGCTTAATTATAGAATTTGAAATTCTACAATTTTAAATAATTAAAATATCTTCATAAATTTCTAGAATTTCAATTTCACCCTAACTTCCATATTTAAACAAGATATTATTTCACAACAAAGCATGTAAAATTATTAAAAAAATGAATTACTCTCAAAATTTTCTCATCCAAACACAAGGACAAGAAATTTGCAATACAATAGAACTATAGCACCAGTATAGCCACTATTTATCAACATTGTTAGAGACTCAATTAGTTGGAAAATACAGAGAGGGAGAGATATAGGAAGTAGAACAACAAAAATAGTTTTCAAAAAAACAACCTAGGGTAATCTGTCTAAATTCTTCTGACCACATGGATGCATTTTGTATATAAAAATGGAAGTTACATTAAGCTTCAAACATAAGTAGATTCAGTATGCCTAATTTCAAATCAATATCACGTTACTGTGATACCGATGTCAAAAAATACCTTGACATTTTCATCATTAGAATATGCCTCTGCAATGTCACATAACTTTCCACTGATGTATGAAGCAGAATACTTTCCATCCGCTGTTCCATATTCCCCAAGAACCCAACAGATGACCTACAATCAGTACTTAGAAGTTATTCTAACAAACACATTTAGTTTCTTCTCAGATTAAAACGAGAGGAGAAAATCCAAAGCATCTGGTGTAGGAAGTACTTGAAGAAACACAGAAGGAAGCTTGGGCTCTCCAATAATGCGCAAATATGACTCAACCTACATGAAACAGCATGCATTCAGTAACGCATTTATGCACACACAGTGGAATTACCAAACGAAACCAGTGCAATTATTGAAATAACATACAGCAGATGATCTCAACTGACTATCTGCAGCATCATCATCCTCCCCAAATCCTTCAGCAATCAGCCGCATTAAATTATGTGCCACTTTAATATTAACAAGATCTCCAGCATGCTCAAAAACTTTATTCATGGTCTGCATAATCATAATAGCAGATATTATTAACTAACAACGAATTTATGTAAAATCAATAATGTTGAGGCAACTATTTCAATTACCTGTATAAACCAATGATTACTTGGTGCAAATTGCTCAGCAAGTTCCACACATCGAGATGCTATATAGGTTTTATAATGGTCATCACTTATGCTAATCATGTAATCAATCATTCTGTCAACAATCACTTCCACATTGGAAGACTTGGTCATTTTGTATAACAGTTCAAAAGTTTTTCGTTTCAGACTATCATCAGGGTCCTGCATAACATCATATTTAATCAGAGTTGCAAATTCAAGCATGATCATCAGGAAACATGCATAGAGATATAACTAAGTAAACAACAGACAGCATTGTCATTTTATGTAATAAAGATAATCAAGGTACTTTCAGCAAAATCTGATATCATGCATCAATGAACAAAAAATTTAGACATTAGCCCTTCACAGTCATGACCAATGATAGGTTAGTAAGTGTTAAATAATATTATGTATTTCTTATATCATCATGTGTCTTGTAATGGGTCAGTCTTTCTTTTTCTTTTCCTGCTTATCCATTTTAGCAGGTGCAACAGTCTGCAGAAGTGTTATCAGTGTACCTTTTCTTACAGTTGTTACACACACAAATATGTTAAAGATGAGTGGAAAACTCAAGTTTTCCTCTCCAAACTTCATGTTTAAGTTGATATTGGAGCCGGTTCCAATCCCTGGCACATCTTTGGTCGTTGAATCAGCCAATTAGCCAGTTGACCAATTGAATTGTTTCTGGAAGCAAATTTTGCAGGGAAATGAAGAAACCCTGAAAATTGTTCAGTCTGTAGGACTTGAATGCCATGAATTCAGATTTTAATCTATTTGTCAGCAAATTTTGAACAAGTGAATGAATCTTTCAGTGAAACTATCACTGACGAAGTCTTATGTTTCCAAAACTAAAAAAACTAGGAGAAAGTTCATATAAAAAACTACCCAAATTTTTCAACACTGGTATCTGAATCAGGAAGAGCGAGATTGAAGAATCCGATTGAAACATGTGTTATACTTCACTGTCACAAAACATCCAAAAACCTAGGGTATCTTTCTCATTTTCCATGTTCCTTCAAATTACCTGATTTTCTAAACAAATTTTTAATGTTTATTTAAACCACTTTCCACCGTTCAATCTTCAATTTCAACCGATTAATCGGTTCCATTTCACTTTTCCATCTTTTAATCGGTTCGATTCGTGTTTTCCTCCATTCTCTTGGTTTTCTACCGATTAAACCTTAGATCTTAGGGTTTTCTTAAGTCCGTTCATAGTTTAGTAGGTTTCCTTCGAGTCAGCTCTCGATTTAGGTTCGTATCTTTCTTCAATTCTGGTATTTGTTTCTCTTACGAAGACGCTCGATGATTCGTGTGGTGCAACACTCTCTTCGGCGGAAACTCTTCACTAGTTTTTTAAAAAACCGATATCTAACGTGCCGCTATAGACATCGGTTTACGAAACTGAGACAGATGAAAGGTGGTGACATTTTTGAATTTCAGCAACCGTATCGACCTCGGTTCAAGACGGAGCGAGGCATAAGTGTATATGCATCGTTTTTTTTTGTTTTTTCCCTGGGGACCAGAAGGGCAAGTAGGCCTTTGTAAGTTTGAACGAAGCTTTTATGCTTCGATTTTGTGTCCACCCGAGGCGTATAATTCATGTTTAGGCATTGGGTCAATGAATAACGGAGCAGTATTTTTCATTACTTCGGTTAAAACGAGAACCGAAACAATTGCTTTTAAATTTTTCCCAATTAACCCTAAGCGCTTTTCGTTCTTCTTTTATCTCTGCAACATCCAAACGTCCATCTTTCTTCTTCCTCTACATCTCCACCATTGTTGCCACTGCTTGTCGCTCCTCCCTGCCGCTGCTCGTTACCCCCGCGCGGCGCTCCCCCTGCCTCTGTCGCGTTCTCCACCACTGCTCCCCACCCTTGCTGCGCCTCCACTACCACTCATTCATTCATTTCTCGCCACGCCTCCACTACCCTTGCTGTCGTGCCACCACCGCCCACCGCCCTTTGCCTACCCTTCCTTTTAGCCCCCTTCTTTTCGACCCCCTTCTCTTAAAGCTCTAGGGTTTTCTGAATTTGATTCGGAGTTTGTATTTGCAAGGAGGCTTGGCTTGAATTTGAGTTGGGATCTGGTTGGGTTCTTAGATCGGGTTGGCTTTCTCATTGACGTGGTTCTCTCCCATTCCTTTCTCAAATTTCCCACTCGCTTTCCTTTACGCAACATGGCCACTGCTTCCATCGGCACTTCCCCACCACTTTCGTTGCTTCCTACCAATCTAGAGCCTCTTCTGGTGCGTTTTCTGGACACTCTATTTCTCGGTGCTCCTCTTGACGAGTTCATGCCGCTGCAGACCATCGTCGCTGCACTACCCTCTTGGAACGACGCAGACCATCGTCTCCGAACAACACCATTTCGAGCGTGAGTGGAAAGCGAAGCGAGCAAGAACCCAACGGCGAAGAACACGACATGAACAGAGCCTGTTACCTCGAAATCAGCAACGAAGAAGATGGCGAAACCTCAAGGAAAAAAACTCGGACGCTCTCCCAAAGCCCAACAGTTTTATCCGAAGACAGAAGAGTTTCAAAGAGCGCATTATCCTCAGACAGGTAAGATAACAGAGGGAAAAGTTAAGTTCCGGGCTTTTGATTGCTTTTGTTTCCAAAAGACCAACACCTGATTGATTTTTTGTCATATGATCATTTTCTGATCTTTCATCATGTTTCTCCCTTACTTTCCACTATAAATGAAGTTCTTTAGTTGTTTGAAATGAACAAATGCCGAAA